AAATAATGTATCACTTCCCATATTTCTTTTAATTCATGTATTATACAGTGACGAACCACTGGTGGGTCGGTGGGCCGCGATCTATGGTTAGGGAAATACTGCTATAGAGTATTTTAAAGTAAACTTATAATTAAGTGGTTTTATTTATTACAACTAATTAAAAATAAATTTATAACAGTCTTGAAATGGATTAATTTATAGCAGTACTTATTATTTATTTTTTTTATCAATGACGATGTGGTCTGATTCTATTGCATTTTGGAATTACCTTACTATTTATTTTAAAAAAAAATCGCAATTCAAGCCTTTCAAAATTGTGTTCCAATCCCTGTCCCAATCCCATCTATTACATTATTTTTGCTAAATTCGATGCTTATATAAACGGTCATTTTTTCATTTTTTATACGTAGTAAATTCCTAGGACCTCCTCCGGTTTAAAACCTAGATACACTCCTGAATACTACACACATTTTTAGCGCATTTTTGCAAAAAATTTTTTTTGTAAAAAGTAGCTTTTAATCTCACTTTGGCTGGCTGGCTGGCTGGCTGGCTGGCAGCAAATGTGGGGGCGTAGAAGAACTCTTGTAGAAAGGCAACGGGTGTACGTGTATCTACAGGGCCGTGAAATTTGTCAACCTTAGGGACATGGCTACATGATGTGGGGTTGGCGACATCTGGGCGTCATCCTCGAGCGTAGTATACTAACGTGAAGGTTTTTCAGTTTTTTCCTATCTTCTACTACAGTTTTGGTCCGATTCTTTTGAAATTGGTGTCGTCGGAAAGATGTTGTAAACGCGCACAACTCCTGCGTGGCGGAATTTTGTTTTTTGTCATAGGGGCGAAATTAACGACCTTTTGCGAGGCGGCGCGCGCGTCTTCGAGAAGTAGTCAGGCGCCTTTTACCTTCCGTTGCGAACTCACGCGGTTTAACGTTTCGTGAATCTCGAATCGCTGTCTCTCTTTCTCGTGTCGCCAATAGAAGTGAATTGCGAGTGAACGGGACGTCGGAAGTGGGTACCGTCAAAGGGAATGTGGTAGCCCGCGACACGATCTCACTGATGGTGGAGTCAAATCTTCAAACGCGAATTGCGGGTGAGCGGGACGTCGGAAGGGGGTACCGTCAAAGGAAATGTGGTAGCCCCCGACACGATCTTCCTGATGGTGGAGTCAAATCTTCAAACGCGAATTGCGGGTGAACGGGACGTCGGAAGGGGGTACCGTCAAAGGGAATGTGGTAGCCCCCGACACGATCTTCCTGATGGTGGAGTCAAATCTTCAAACGCGAATTGCGGGTGAACGGGACGTCGGAAGTGGGTACCGTAAAAGGGAATGTGGTAGCCCGCGACACGATCTCACTGATGGTGGAGTCAAATCTTCAATCGCGAATTGCGGGTGAACGGGACGTCGGAAGGGGGTACCGTCAAAGGAAATGTGGTAGCCCCCGACACGATCTTCCTGATGGTGGAGTCAAATCTTCAAACGCGAATTGCGGGTGAACGGGACGTCGGAAGGGGGTACCGTCAAAGGAAATGTGGTAGCCCCCGACACGATTTTCCTGATGGTGGAGTCAAATCTTCAAACGCGAATTGCTGGTGAACGGGACGTCGGAAGGAGGTACCGTCAAAGGGAATGTGGTAGCCCCCGACACGATCTTCCTGATGGTGGAGTCAAATCTTCAAACGCGAATTGCGGGTGAACGGGACGTCGGAAGTGGGTACCGTAAAAGGGAATGTGGTAGCCCGCGACACGATCTCACTGATGGTGGAGTCAAATCTTCAATCGCGAATTGCGGGTGAACGGGACGTCGGAAGGGGGTACCGTCAAAGGAAATGTGGTAGCCCCCGACACGATCTTCCTGATGGTGGAGTCAAATCTTCAAACGCGAATTGCGGGTGAACGGGACGTCGGAAGTGGGTACCGTAAAGGGAATGTGGTAGCCCGCGACACGATCTCACTGATGGTGGAGTCAAATCTTCAATCGCGAATTGCGGGTGAACGGGACGTCGGAAGGGGGTACCGTCAAAGGAAATGTGGTAGCCCCCGACACGATCTTCCTGATGGTGGAGTCAAATCTTCAAACGCGAATTGCTGAATTGCGGGTGAACGGGACGTCGGAAGGGGGTACCGTCAAAGGGAATGTGGTAGCCCCCGACACGATCTTCCTGATGGTGGAGTCAAATCTTCAAACGCGAATTGCGGGTGAACGGGACGTCGGAAGTGGGTACCGTAAAAGGGAATGTGGTAGCCCGCGACACGATCTCACTGATGGTGGTGTCAAATCTTCAATCGCGAATTGCGGGCGAACGGGACGTCGGAAGGGGGTACCGTCAAAGGAAATGTGGTAGCCCCCGACACGATCTTCCTGATGGTGGAGTCAAATCTTCAAACGCGAATTGCGGGTGAACCGAACGTCGGAAGTGGGTACCGTCAAAGGGAATGTGGTAGCCCCGACACGATCTTCCTGATGGTGGAGTCAAATCTTTAAAAGCGAATTGCGGGTGCACGAGGAAAGTGGGAAGCGGTTAGTGAATGTAGTAGCCTTCGACAAGATCTGTTATTGATGGTTGAATCGAAAGTGGCTAATAGAATACTGATCTGCCACACAAAAATGCGCTGAAGTCCCTTCGATCTCAAACGAGGACTTTGATAATTTTTTATCTTTACTGGAATTAACTGCAAAATTCCACTCAATGAACCAAAATACCCCAAATCTTTTCTTGGATTCAATTCTTATCAACAAATTAAAGTTCTCGCTACTTAATATATTTTTACTCGAACTTTAGTACTACTCTCATAAATATCACCCAATAAATGCACATTTTGGTTCTTGAATTTCGACCATAAAACTTCATATACAGGGTGTCAATTTTAAAACTTGCAGTCGGCCATATTTTCCAAGCTAAAGAAGATATTGAAAACTTTTGCGGGGGTATCGAGGGGGAACCAGAATGACGATATGAGTGACAACCCCTCCCTCTTAACCCTCCAGCCCCCCCCTCTCTTCAAAAATCCTAAATGGCAACCCCATACTTGTGACACATCGTTGGAAAGCTACTGAAAAATGCCAAGGTTTCTTAATGAAGCAGCTCAGGTTGAAGTTCTTGGCCAATTTGCCATAAATCCCTCAAGGTCAACATTTAGTTTTTTTTTGTTAATTAGAAAATTTTTGTTAAATTATCTTAATGAATATTGACTTTATTGGTACCACTGGAAAGCATTTTTCAGTAACTTTTCAACGATGTTTCACAAGTATGGGGTTGCCATTTAGGATTTTTGAAGAGGGGGGCTGGGGGGTTGATGGGGGGTGGGAGGTTGTCACTCATATCGTCATTCTGGTTTCCCCTCGACGCCCCCGAAACGGTTTTGCGCGGTTTTCAATATCTTCTTTAGTTTGAAAAATATGGCCGACTGCAAGTTTTAAAATTGACACCCCGTATACGTGAAATCGGCAAAATAAAAATCTCTCGTGCACATAATGGTACGCGCCTGCCTCTATAAGTTTCGCTAAGAATTCAGTTTCACCGCACTTAAAATGGTACGCGATGGTTCGCAAAAATCAAAATTTTCACCAATAGAAAAATTCATGCACAAACAGTGTACGTGATCACTCACGAATTCGTCTTCGAATCTCTCGCTCTTCCACTTCTTTCGCTATTTGAATCTCTCCCGAAATACCAAAGAGGCCTTACTTTCTGAACGCAACGAATAGCGTACTTCTTTAAACGAATAGTAAACCTACATTTTTGTCACGTGCTCGGTTTTAAACGAATTGAAATTGTTAAACCCGAAGAAATCGTGGCAACCACGTTCGCTTTCCGCAATACGTGTCTTGTTATCGCCAGACCTACTTTCGTTCACGTTCGCTATGAAGCGGTACATGTGAAGATTTCTCCATGTTTGACCAAAATACAAATTCAAAACCAAATTTTTGAAAACGGTCAAGCGACCCCCTTGTTACATAATGTACAACAACTTGTTTATTTAAAAAGAATTGCAAGGTATAGTAGAGTAAGTAGCGATTGTGAAAAGAAGATGTATTTATTTATTTATTTATTACCCTCTCGTGTTCTGGGCCCTCAGCAGGCTTTTTTTAGAGGTACCTCTGCAGAAGTTGTTCTATACTACTCCGGTACTTACCTTACGAATTAGGAAAACTGCAGGAAAACCTAATTCGGAGTAGCCGGCAGAATGCTCAAACTGGTCATTCCCATCTCTGCCACAGATGAAAAATTCACCTCAACCCAGGTTCGAACACCCGACCTCCGGATTTATAGTCCAACGCTCTCCCACTAAATCATAAAGTCGGGCAAATGTATGAAAAAAATTGCGAAAGCAAACGGTCAGACACATCAGTTTGTATTGCCATTACAACAAAATGCAATTTTTCAAACGGGATATGTCTTGTGTGTCCCCTGAACAGATCTGTGCATGTCATTTCACCAGGAAATATATCATTGTTCGCAACGGGGAATAAAACTCTAATGTATGTACCGTGTATCCCATTTTGGTTGAGACTGCAGTGTATCTCAGCTGTTTTTAAAGATAGAGACTTGTGGTTTTCGCGGTCCTGTTCCCCTTTTTTGTGAAACTTTTAATACCACAACACAAACACAAACAGCGTAGTTTAAAAAAATTTATATCAATGTAATCAGGAAGAATAATGCTAAAAAATTTACGTTAAAATATGCAGGTTGTTGTAATTAAAAAATTCCAACTTTGGCTCAAATCTCATAAACGGTGGTCCAATGACTACGCCACTGGATTCTACGTAAAAATATCTAAAATAGGGAGTGTTTTACTTTTTTCTATCTTACATGGATAGTAGGATATGATAACATACCAAAAAGTCAAACTTTTCGTATTCACCACGTACCTCAGAAATAATCGTAGCTAGATTAATTTGTGGTATTAAAAGTTTAACAAAAAAGTGGCACAGGGTCGCGAAAACCGCAAAGCTCTATCTTTAAAAACCGCTGAGACACACTGCAGTCTCAACCAAAATGGGGCACACGGTACTCCTCAACTCCGTGGCCAGAGTATATAAGATGTACTCTAATTTTTTTTACATAGTAAATACAAGCCAATGGAGTATGACAATCACGAACTTATAAATGAATGGACTGCTGATCAAACAGTTGCATAGAGGTAGAAATGGCCCTAGCATGGGCGCCGCCATGATGTGCACATTCTAGTTATTTTCTAGGGGAATTTTCCTAGTGCTCAAGTTTTGAGACTATTGCAGCCTTGAAAAATGACATGTGTCACATTTATTTAGAAAATGTGAGGTTAATGTTGGGTTAATGCTTGTTTATTAGTTGATTTGAATTTCGCGCCATGTGAGTGCACATCATGGCGGCCCCCATGTAGGTGTCATTTGTTAATTCAGCATTAGCAGTCCATCTTAATTTATAAGTTCGTGATGACAATACATAATTAACAAAAACACGTTACAACGTCAGCATATTTAAAGTTCTTCTTTGTTTCAGGTGTGGTTTAAAAACCGACGAGCGAAATGGAGAAAACGCGAACGCAACGCCATGAATGCAATGAATGCGGCAGCTGAATTCAAAACTGGTTTTGGTACACAATTCAACGGTTTGATGCCCTCGTTTGGAGATGAAACCTTATATTCGTCGTATAGCTATAACAATTGGGCGAGTAAAGTACCAAGTCCGTTAGGAACGAAACCTTTTTGGCCAGTGGTACCATCAAATCATCATCAAAGTCCAGTGAACTGTTTCAATTCCGCAACGTCAGTTGCGTCGATGACTGGTGCTGCAAGTTCCATGCTTCCCGGCGCAATGGGAACGGGTTTATCGACAACACCCACCGCCGTCGCCGCTCAACCCTGTCCATATACAACACCTGCAAATCCATACACCATGTATCACCACCGCGCAGCCGCAGAACCGTGCTCGGCGATGTCTTCGAGTATCGCATCATTAAGGTTAAAGGCGAAACAACATTCGGGTTTTGTAGGCTATTCCAGTGTAAGTCCTGTACGAACTAGTTCGGCAGGATTGTCAGCGTGTCAGTACGCAGGAAGTGGGATTGGGGTTGGAGAAAGGACTGGCTGAGAACACGATCAGCCCTTAGGGGCCGAATTAAAGCATGAAAATCAGGATGATTGATATATGTAACTAAATCAAGCGTGAATGTTGCGTCAACCAGTGAGTGAAAGTGTTATGACAATTGCGCCAAATATAGCAATAGCAATCGTTACAGAAGTTTATAAATAATGTGAATAATCGGCTCTTGGATGTACATTTTGTACAAAATAGTTTTAATGTAGCGAGTTCATTCAGTGGCTCTTGCGTTGACAGATTAGCAATCCCTGATGGTTCCAGTATTTTCAGTAATTAATTTACAGTATTTTGTTCTGTAGCATAATCTGTTGTAATTTAATTACGAATCAGTACAAAATGTTCCTGTAAAGTTTGTGCCATAAATGTCATAAGTTACCAAGTGTTACGTGTAACCAAAGATTTTGTTAGATTTGTAAATTATTTTTGAATATTGAGATTGAAGAGCGGATAGTGGCTCTAGTACAAAGGCTGCATAGTGCAATGTAAATATAGGTATTTTAAATGATGTACCTACACGTCTGATGTAAAATAGTTTTTAGAATACCATAGTCAAAACTTAATATTGTACCTTATTATTGATTCTATTATACTCTAACCATTTTGTTTGTAATTGTTCTACCATTTGCAGTCATCTAGTCACAATAAAATCTATTCCATTTAATACCGGAATGTTTTCACTTTCTTCCCACATGTCCCCACAAAGAAGAAGAATACGCATTCATCGTGCAAAAATAAAACAGCAAAATCAAATAACTTAAAAATGACAGAGAAAATAATGATTATACCATTATTCGAATTATGGATATTTGGAAATTTATCGTTTCAGAGCACAATTTAAAATACTTTAATCATAAAGTTAGTAAAAATACCAAAAAGACTATCCTAATGGTGCATAATAAATACTACTTAGTCAGTACAATCAATCTACACACTATTTCCTTTCGTACAATTGCCATTGGACTAGTCATTAAGAAGAAAAGCAAAGTCACTAAACTTGTAGCAAAGTAAGAAAGCATTCCTACCATTTGTGAGGTAAGTCCACACGTTAAGGGTCAAGACCTGGACACCGTGCGGGGTTCATTGTAGTCTGGACTGTAGAATCTATCTACAATAGAATCGTGTAACACAGCAAGAAATGCGCTGCAAAGATGTTCAGATTGTTTGTTTGCTCATTCATGGGCTCATCAATTAAAGCGGCAAAACTAAGCTACCGAATAGATGACATTAGAACAATTCGAAATTGTCTATCGGTTTTCTATTTGGGCGATTTCTTGCTAAGTACAGTGCTGTGCAGTTAAATGCGTACCTACGTTGGGAGCGACAGTAAGGCGAAATTAATGAGAAATATCTGACGGTCCAGCTCGGATGTCTTGTCAATTGTGTGGGAGATGTGGGGGTGTTTTAAAAAGGGTTAAGTAGGTAAAGAGTGGTAACGAACGATTTTTTGGTACGGGATTTACAGTCAAACATTTTAATTATGAGAACGGTGAAAGGAAGCGGATCCAGTTTCTTTTAATATGCGAAACTACAATGATTTTTATTGTTAACTACGATCAAGTGATCCAGTAGGAGTGCGCCTAGATTGGAATTAATTAAATAAATAGAAAAAGACCAAAAGTCTTACAATAAGGACTAATAATAATGAGCTAGCCGTCGGCATAAACGTTTTACGCTCAGGTATGATCAAATTCAATTTTGTAATCTATTACACGTCTCTATAAGCGAAAGAACAAGCCATGATCCAGGCGCCAGTGAAGAATGTTTTGTTTTATAAAGCCCTAGTTCCGTGAATTTTAATGAGGGGAAACATACATGCTACCCGCTTACGAGAAACTAAAAATTCCCCCTAAAGATATTAGATAGGGTTACGCCAAATTAGCATAAACGCCAACTTACTTCAGGGATTAACCCAACAGTTAGTATTTCAAAAAGGAATAAGTGTTCTCTATAATAAAACTGTAGCAGTTCAACACGTAGGGTCCGTCTTTCGTGTTTCAAATTGCGCGACTTGGACAAGGTCACAGTTTCAGGGTTGAGGTATTACTTACTACATTTCATATTATGCAGGTAGATACTATATACACTTCGTTATGTCATCATCATCATCCAAAACACTGTTACTTTCTCGATTCTAATTTTCCTATTCCCGACTGAATTAGGTCTAGAGACCCAACAAAACTTTTCTGTGTGTAAGCGTAAGCACATGGGTAGTGAGTTAGTTTGCTATACGAAAACGACGGGTAGCAATTAATTCAATAAAGTGATCTAGTTAATCAGAGTGCGACCGATTAGTGTCTCCACCGGTTTAGTCAAGTTCAAGCAACAACAACGATTAACGTCAAGTGTGATTAAATTCACGGTACGGGGCAATTGTTGTTAAATTTATAGAAAGTCAAAAACCGGACAATTCAGTGCAAACCAATAATAATGTGAAATCGAACAGACAACAGGTATTCTCACAAACCATTGGTGCTTTAAATTTGTTTATAAAACCAACAGTCACATTTCACATATAAATAGTTGAAATGAACTAATGAAAATGAACTACGAGGTGTGTCCGAAATGTATTCGACCTGCGATCATATCTTCGCGCCAGAGCGCCCTAGCGGCGTCTGAGGGTAGGTATAAGCGTAATCAGTAGTCCCTCACGAACTCCCTGTGTGCGGATCGCCGTAGTTACCGGCTGGGCGCCTTGGGTAGCGCGATGCGTATGTTTAATGTTTATGTTCAACGTGTTTTTTTCTTTTCGTCGCATTTTTTACTTTTGAAAATGACAGAAAAAACTGGTTAACGAATTTGCATCAACTTTTGCTTCAACCTCGGCAAAAGTTGTACCGAGACGATTAAAATGATGTAGAAGGCCTTTGGGGACGAAAGTATGGGCACAACACTTATAAAAGAGTGGTTACAGGCAGTTTAAAAATGGCTGCACATCTGTGGACAGTGACCCTTGTTTTGGACGGCCTAGGCCAACTGAGCGTGTTGACTGTTGTGCACTACGAATTTGCTGCAAAAGGTCAGACGATCATCAAAGAATATGACGTTGAAGTTCTGAAAAGATTGCGTGATGGAGTGAGAAGAAAACAACCGCGTTTCTGGTCAAGTGGTGACTGGTCTCTTCACCACGATAACACGTCAACGCATGAATCAAATCTTGTGCAACAATTTTCGGCAAAACACAAGATTGTAGATCTTCGGCAGTCTCCGCACAGTCTCAACATAGCTCCCGCGGCTTTTGGAAAGATTGGTGGCATAAAGTCTTTGTTAGTTTCCCACAAAATCTTAGCTTAAATAAGAAGAGTCTTGAATCAGAGTCTCCTGTTCCAACAATAAAACTTTTTAACATTCATTCTTGTAGCTTAATTTCAATACTACTGTGTGTAATGGTATTCGGTCAACTACACCACCCACAAAACACCTGTTCAGCTAGCTCTAACAAATCAAAATTGAAACTTCGTTCACTTCCGGCTTTTGCTACAAAGAAAAATCCTAATATTGACTGAAATTAATAATTTGTAAGACTCAGTGACCTGAAATTTAAAATAATTTATAAAGCAAAATTTTATCAACACCTAGAATGAATGTTGGATATCAAAAAGAAGAAGTTGACATAAAGGTTATGCGGATCGTACAATGGATTCGAATAAACACACAATTGATTAACAATGACAACAATTTATTCCGACATATATTAAATGCAAATAAAAACAAAATTCCTGAAATAAAAAGAAGCTTACATAGTCCGTACCCCTTAGGCTCGATAATTAAATATAAGAAAATCTTAAAATTAGTTACAGTTTCATTCATTTTTAATAATCTTAAAATCTGGTCGTGAACAGGTTTGCGATAAACTGGCGCACTTAACACAAACGCGGACACCGTCAGAAACTTCACTTTTCTTTAACACGACCTTTATAATTATCGGTGGCTGTACGAACGGTTTATACTTTAAACCTTGATGAAAAATGAACCTTAACAGATGGCCTTACGGTTCACTAAATTGATTCCTTTACCTCAACTTGACTAACTTTTTCCGTAAAACGGAACACGCTTGAAATTATTAAACAACTTCAGGTAACTTTCTTTTCCACAGAAATAGTGTGAAAATGACGAACTGCATCTTCAATCAATCAAATCGGGCGGACAGCTCGAATAAATAATTAGCGTAAGGAGAACCTTCCTTTTCCTTGGAGAACCAGTTAGCTAGCCGTCTCGTTATTTAGTTGTCTAACCTACCTCCATCAAACAAAGAACTCCTTCTTCCAGTAATTAAAAATAATCCGCCAAGCCTTGGCAATTCCAGTTTCGAAGGAACACTCCCACTTACGCCGAAAATAATGCCCAACAAAGTTGTCCACGTGCATCTCTTGGTATCAGCACCAAAACACGTCCGTTAATTTAATTACGCCCGACAACACTCGCAAAACAACCAGATAAAATCTTTTATAATGTAAAGGCTTTATCTGATTGTTTTGCGAGTGTTGTCGGGCGTAATTAAATTAACGCACGTGTTTTGGTGCTGATACCAAGAGATGCAGGTGGACAACTTTATTGGGCATTATTTTCGGCGTAAGTAGTCAGATGTTTCTACATTTCACGCAATTTCACAATTTACAATTAAATAAACAGATCTAAATAAACAATATGCAACTATACAAAAATTCTGAAAGGAAAAACAACACTACACAAATACACTCAAGTGAAATAAACCAACTCTGTGCTTATTCGTAAATAATCCATTTACTTTAATAAATTGAAATGTTTTTTATATACAGGGTGTGCGTAATTATTCTCGGCGTTTAAACGAATAACGTCAAGATGATGTTATTTACACAACAATACATTTAATCTCCGGTTTCAATTAATTAATTCCTCTTACTGGGCGACTATCACCGTTGTGATAGTATAATATTTAAATGCAAACAACTACTTGAACCAGGATACCCGTGACACATAAGTTTGTATCTTCATTTACCCACTGTGAGGGTATTCGCATTTCAAGTAATTGATCTTTTTTGCGCATTTTCTTTTGTTCTCTGTTTTGTGAGTCTAGTATCATACGAGTGTTAAAATAAACGTATACGTACGTGATGGAGTAGGGAATGCAATCCCGCAGCAAATTTCAATCGCGGTATTTGCGGGAGCATTAGATAGTAAAAACATTCGGAAATAAGCAATTTTGTACAGTTAACGGAATATTCTCAAGAAAACACATTGTATTTCGCGAAAAGAATGCATCACATCCGCCGTCTTTTCTTGTCGCCAGTGAGTAATCTTTTATGGCCCCTCCATGTCTATCTGGATGTCTAGAATATTCGTTGCAATATTTCCATACATCCTACTAAGATCTTTTATAAACAATTGACGGGTCCTACATATCGTCTATTGAAGTTACAATTAGCATCTGTCTGTGGTGTACTTAGTCATTCGTGAGATTGGGTCTCCAAATGGTAAAGAACTCAGGGGATAATTGTTATATAAGTCCAAATCTGCTAAATCCGATTGCACTACATGAAATAGATAAGAATCCCTAAGTTCCGCCGTTGTATATACAAGATAAGTGTACGGTCACGAAAAAATATATCGGACCTAATCTCATGT